TGCTGAGGAATCTGACCTGTCTGACTGACCTCAGCGTGGCTGACTGCGCTCTCTCTGCCAGAGTTTTTACTCCCAGCTTCTGCTATGCCCTGAGAGGTACTATTAGTACAAGTCTTAACATTTAGAGAAAGTTGTTTCATGTTTGTAAAAGCTTTTTGTGATTTGATGTGATAATGATGGTTGCTCACTGACCAACTCAGATTCTCTGAGACACACTTTCTGAAAGGGATTTTTGTAGGTTTGAAATCTGTTTCTCTGTTACTAGCTTCAGAGTGGTTGTAGTTTAGAAGTCAGTACGAATGAATGTTGTCTACAATAAGCTAAACAGTGGGGCCCTTTCAAGTCGTGGCTTGGCTATCAAAATGGAAACCTCAAATGTTTTTAAAACAAATCTTTGCTTGCTATATTTACCAATATCCAAAGATGTCAATAGGTTAGGCTCAAGCTCAATAAAAACTGATATATATATATACAGTGGAACCTGTGTAAGACGGCCACCCATTGTCAAGGAGAAAAGTGGCCGTATAAGACAGTTGGCCGTCTTTGGCAAGATTGATCAAGAAGAAAACAAACCGTTCCCTTCTGAAGTCCCTACCGAAGCAGCCGCATTGTTGTTGTTTTTGTTAGCTTTTTAAAATTTAGTTGCTGAGTTTGCACAAGGGTGACAATAATACGAAATGTGTCAGACGAGGAAGACCGGGTACCATGTTAAAACAAACACATGGGTCGCCACCACTCGGAGAACGAGCGACGCTTCTGTCACAAGTTCATGTTGACGTCCATTATTGTTACTTTGTTACGGACTAGGTAAACAGTGACCACTCATCTCACTTTCGATTTGTGTATGAGTTGTGGTCGGGGCTTATGGGTTATGAGGGATCACATACTTACGTCACCAGCAGCTGGAAATTTTAAGATAATAGGTTGGAGGGACTACCTAACAACAACGACAGGTGATTGGAATATGACGGCTCGACCATTACGTCAGGGGCCAATGCTTAAGTTGTGACAAAACGTCGGGGGATGAGGAAGGTGGCCGTCTTAGACAGGTGTTATTGTTTAGTATGAAGGGGTTGTGGGAGAAAATATGGTGACCGCGGCTGCGTTGGACTGGTGACCATTTTACACTGTGACAGCATATAGAAAAATCGCAAAGGGGGGGGGAATGGAAAGTGGCTAAAGTTGCTGTCCAAGTGACCTTTAAAAAAAACATCATGTTTGGTTTTTGCCCTGTTTTTAAGCGGAGTCAGAGGGTACAATGTTGATGATGCTGTTCAGTTGTTGTGTCTCAAGTTATTCCTTGTCATATAGACGGTTGGTTTTTTCTACGCGTATTTTTGGCTTTCAATATTTCTTTTGTTTGTTGACTATTGACCCTGGCATTTGGATGTGTTATGTGGGTGGTTGGCGGGTGCTCTGGAGTGGTTTGCTCTTCTTTCCTATCAAACATCTATCGTCTTTATCTCCCCTCCTTTTTTGTGTTTGTCTCTCTCTTGTCACACCTCTAATCTTCGGCACTTATTGATCTTATTGTGTTGCAAGTGCCGTAAAACACTTACTAAAACTAAAAGGATGTGTTATGGCTGCAGCAGACTGAGCTATTGCTCTCTAAAATGAGCCATGCAGGATGTCATGTCAAGGGCTTCAAATTTTATAACTTGGAGGCCTGTAGGCTTTATAGCATAGAAATGCAGATCATTGTCTTTTTTGTTTGAGTTATTCATACCTTCAAAGACAAAAAGGGGGGCAGTCTACATTTCATAATTGAAATACATAAATCTAAACATTAAAGATTTAATGTATTATTAAAGAGATTTGGAGGGGGCTGTCATGATCTAAAGGTTACTGTGTTGGCCTCTCATTCAATAGTTTCCGTGTTCGAAACCAGACAGTGACGGAAAATTTTCTCCTCTAAAATTTTCTCCTTTTACCTCCTTTCCTGCTCTAACCATGTTGCTCTATTTGCTTTCGTCTCCACTATCTCAAAACTATTTCTTACCAAACTGAAAATGCTTAGTGTGCCTCGTGCGCTCATATGAACGTATGTAGTTGCGAGTGCCGTAAAACATTTACCCCCCCCCCCAAGAGATTTGAGCACCATAAACTGACAAACTTCTGAAATAAATTGAATTATGAAAACCCCCGGGGCGGTGCCACTGACTGAAGTGTCTAGGCCATTCCCAAAGGGGGGACATTTCTCGTTTTAGTGCACAGTAGAATTGTAAATGGGCTGATCTAACAATCATGCTCATAACTGTGCCTGAACTACAACAGGGAACTGCTACTTTTTCTTTCCTAATCCTTACTATCGTCATTTTCCTCTACTTCTTTTGTATGTTTGTCACACTTGATAGTCGAAGCAGACTTTGTGTGTTGTTGAAGCTAGAGAGGTGAGCAGAGTAAGTTTGATTCCCTGTAAGGACTTCTCTGTTGACATCCACCCTTTGGCGCTCATATGACCTTATGCAGTTGCGAGTGCCGTAAAACCTCTACTAAAACTAAACTAACTGAATTATGAAAGAAAGGAAAACATAGTCCTTTTTATTAAGAGAAAAAAAAGTACAAAGAAAAATTTAAAAACCAGATCCATGACATTGCCCTTCGAAGTCCAACTGAGCTTTACATTATCATCATCATCATTGACTTTCTCACCCTGGATCAGGATATAGGCCACGAACAAACACTTTCCACCTTTCCCTATCCTAGGCTAGTCGCTTGATGTCAACTCCACGTCTTCCCACTGTTCTTTATATCCATTTCCGTGACTCTTCTCCAGGTTCCACGTGGTCTTCCCCTTGATCTTTTACCCTGTGGGTTCCAATCTAACACTTTCCTTGTTATGCAGCTGCTTGACTTCCTGAAAGTGTCCTATCCATTGCCTACGTCTTCTTCCCACCTCATCTCTGACTGGGCTCTGTCTCGTTCTTCTTAATACTTCCTCGTTGGTGATCCTGTCTGTCCTTTTGATCCTCAGTAGCTTCCTCAGACACTTGTTCAAGAAAACCTGGATCCTCTTTATGCACGTCTGAGATGCGTTCTACGTCTCACATCCATACAACAAGACTGACTTCACATTTGAGTTGAAAATTCTAAGCTTTGTTTGTTTTATACTGTCTTTTAAAAAAATAATTAAAAAAACCTTTTCCTCAAAGGGCTGATGTTGTTGTCCTTTGGCCATTTCTATGATTGATATTGCCGCCCTCTGACTGGGAGGAAAATGTGCGTGCATGATAGTGTCCAGTAGTGTATTATGTACTTATTGTTATGACTTGTAACTGTTACATAGAGATGCTCAAGATAATTATATAGATGTATGTGAAGGATCTGAGAGCAATGATGAGTTTAGAATTGACGGTGGTGCTGGTGGTGATAAATGATCATGTGGGATGGTGTTTATGTAAATAGTTATTAAGAAGACATGCTTCTGTTAGTTGAAGGTTTTTTTATGTGAATGTTAGTCCTATCTTCCTGTGCTCCGATGAGTTTCGAGGGATGTGGGCACCCGCTATCCCGTTCCCCACTGGAACCATCTTTAATGTCACCGTGAAGTTTCGAAATGGTGGGCTCAGTCTCTGCTAAGGTGACCTTGTTAGTGTTAGCCTATTCTAGCGGGCCAAGACAAGGGAAGAGAGGACCTTAGTAGGTTTAGACAGTACAGTGGCAGATATGTTGGGGATTTCGTATGGGGGTTGTAGGTAGCAAGTTGACAACCAGGTTATAGTCTTAATAAGTCGTCATATTCTACTCCCTAACCATTTGTCCTAGTTATTCCTCTCGAGTCTTATTTATCTTATTTAAACATGGAGTTGTGAGATTTTGACACAGGATCCTCGAACCCGAGTGGAGAGAGAACAATTTACACACAATTTTGTGTCCCCTCGCCTCAGGGGGAGCGGCACTCAAAGGGTATTTGATTTTGTCAACTGTTTCCTGTTCTTGTCCAAGGTTGGAAGTGTAGGGGGAGGTGTGTGCCTGTGAGTTGATTGTTGATTCCTGGGTGCACAGCCCAGGGAGAGTCACACTAGAGAGTTCAATGAGGTAGAACTAATAAGTGTCTTTCAGGAATATCAGATTGAATATTGAAATGCAATTTGGTTTGGTGAAGTTGACCTAATTTGTTGTACTGTGTTGCAGGGCGGTCTCTAAAGCGGCTGATCATTGCTGACAACCTAATAGAAGATGAAGGGATTGCGCTGCTCTTACCCAATTTATACGCCGACTCCTTGCTCGTCCTTGACCTCTCACACACCATGTCAGAGCACACTTCGGAACTTGCTGAACAGTTGCAGGCCTTTGTGGCCTCGGTCAAGAAGTGTAGCCTCAAAAAACTAAATTTGTCTGGCTGCCATCTTGGTCCTCTTTGTGATATGCTGTTCCTAAACAGGTAGGATGTGCTGGTGCCTCCTCTTTGGCTCTAACTTTTTTTCTTTTTTTCTTTTTATTTCTCACCCCAAGGGAGCTGGAGAACATTGGGTGGGTGTTGTATACTCTCTTTTGTCGCGCTTGAGGACATACTATTCATAGGAACATTGATCTGATATGGTCAGAACGTATTTCCTTTGTACATTGCATTGCCTTAATGTGTTGATGTATTTCTATCTTCTGTGTTGGGATAATGACATTAAGATTAAGACACACCTCTGTGCCAGATGTAAAATGATTTGAACAGGCAGAGTTTGACCAATTTTGTTTCTTTTCTTCACAGTGGGTGGTTGGCGGGTGCTCTGGTGGGGTTTGCTTCTTTTTTCCTTTCCAACATCTGTCTTCATTATCTCCCCTCCTTTTAAAGCAGAAAACAAAAAACTAATAGATAAATACCCCGGTGCGGAGCTCATCTTCACGGATGGCTCCAAAAAAGACAATAATGTGGGCGCTGCAGCCCTATCTTTCAACAGTTCACACCAGAGGAGACTCCATCCTGAAGCCTCCATTTTCTCTGCGGAGGCCACTGCCATTCACATGGCACTGGACTCTGTAGAAAATTCTCCTAACAAATCTTTCCTTATCCTTTCTGACTCTCTGCCTTGCATCACCTGACTCACAAACTACACACTCCTACATCCAAAAATAGTTATGCTACAACAGAAAATTCACACCCTATCTGAAACAGGAAAAAACATCATGTTCGCATGGATGCCCAGCCATGTGGGCATCCGAGGAAACGAGCAGGTAGACGACCTGGTGAAGAAAGCTTCATCCCTTCTGCTGGGATCAACGACAAACACTCTCCCACAGACTGACTTTAGAAATATAGTCCAAAAGTACACCTCCAGTCTGTGGGAGAGCCACTGGAAAAAACAGAAAAATAACAAACTCCATAGTATAAAACCCAAACTGGGACCGCGAAATCCTTCGGACCTCTCCAGAAGAGACGAAGTCATTTTTACTCGATTGCGCATCGGACACACGGCCTTGACCCACAAATACCTCCTACAGGGAGATGAGAAGCCGTTCTGTGTCGGATGCGACACAGGTTTTACCATTACACACATTTTAACCGAATGTCTAGACTTTGAAGAGATCCAAAGTAAATACTTAAAATGCAAGAAATTGCATGACATTTTTTCTGTCGTTGGTCCCAAAAGAATCTGGGATTTTATGAAGGCCATTGGCCTTTATGGCAAATTATAAAGTGAAATTGAACTATTTAAACATTTTTATGTTATCTAGGAAAATTATTTTAGACTTATATATATATTTCCACTGGTTTTTAAACATTTTGACATTTTAAGATCTAACTACCGACCTGAGCCAGCCGTACAGTAAACTGTTGTGAACAAAACTAACTTGTGTTTCACGCGCTCATATGACCTTATGCAGTTGCGAGCGCCGTAAAACCCCGTACTAAACAAACATCTCCCTCCTTTTTTGGTTTTTGTTACTCTCTTGTAACACCTCTAATCTTCCGCACTTATATGACCTTATTATGTTTCTTCTCACACACGCATGCATACACACACACACACACACGCACGCACACACACACACACACACACACACACAGTTTCAACCTTTTATTTAATGGTTGAATCCCGTTCCCTGTACCAAAGTACACTGCAATCTGCTATACTGATAATATAATGCTCCTTACAATGTTGCACTCTTAACTTACAAAGCTCTTTTTTTTTTTAAGGGGAAAAACCAATTGCACTTATATTTTTTGATAACTGGAACATAATGAGGTTTTTTCTTGGATCCTTCACTACAGTTTTGTTGCTGATAGCACAGAAAGTCTCTATGCTAGTGATTTGAGGGCACCATTGTTCTTTTTTTTGTTGCAATTTCTATTGTTTTAGCCTGCGTAACTTGTTTTTTTTTTCCCTCAGCCCTATTTTGCTGTTATCAGGATCATGTTCTGCTCTTTGACTCAAACTAGTGGGTGGTTGGAGGGCACTCTGGTGTGGCTTGCTTCTTCTTTCCTATCAAAGTCAAACATCTGTCGTTCTTATCTCTCCTCCCATCATCTGGCCCATAGATACTAGATATTTCCTACTAGGAGATGAAAATCCTTTTTGTATGGGATATGATATTTTACTCTCGGGCACTTCCTGATAAAATGTTCAGACTCTAGAGAGACTCGAAGGAAGTGTTTTAAATGTACGAATGTGAGGGATTTGTTCTCCGTTTTTTATCCCTACAAAATCTTTGATTTTACACATTGTCCTTTTTCCAAAGATGTAAATAATTGTTGTTTTAAAAATGTAAATTGCTTTTTTATGACTAAGTTTTTATGATATTTTTTAGATACTTCAACCATTTCGACTGGGAAAGTAAAACAAGCCGTGCTACAGTTTTAAGTGAACACTACACGAACTTTTGTCTCGCAGGCTCATAATACCTTACACCCTTGTGAGCGCCGTAAAACTTGCCAAACTAAAACCATTTTTTTGTTTGTATGTTACTCTCTTTTAGTTGTAGCAAATCTCATCTTTGAAACATATGTGACCCAATCTGTGTTGCAAGTGCCTTACTACTTTTCCTTCAACTAAACTTAACTCCAACAAACAATGATTTCTGGATCTTTCTCTTGCCCTCCCCCCGGGGCAGTGCCACTGACTGAAGTGTCTTTAGGCCATTCCCAAAGGGGGGGACATTTCTCGTTAAGCGCAGTAGAATTGTAAATGGGCTGATTCATGTCACGCTCATAACTGTGCCTGATCTACAACAGGGAACTTCTACTTTTTCTTTCCTAATCCTTACTATTGTCATTTCCCTCTACTTCTTTTGTATGTTTGTCACTCTTGTGACCTGTTATTTCCGGGGTGCCTTGATAGTCGAAGCAGACCTTGTGCTGTTAAAGCTAGAGAGGTGAGCAGAGTAAGTCTGATTCCCTGTAAAGACTTCTCTGTTGACACCCACCCTTGGCGCTCATATGACCGTATGCAGTTCCGAGCGCCGTAAAACCCTCTAATATATATATTTAAAAAATTCTGTTCCCCAGGTTGGTGGCTCAGTTGTCCAGCCTACAAAAGCTGAACATTTCTGACAACAGCCTGTTGACCATGTGGAGCCTGGAGCAGTTACTCTACATGAGCACAGGAACTGGTCTGGAAAAGCTGGTGGCGCGAGACTGTTCCGTCTATGCACCGTTCAAGGAAGGGTTTTTGCCCACTCTCAAGGACAAATTGGAAAGTGTACATCCCCTTCGTAAATTTGTGTTCACTTGTTTTGAGCTGGGGAGAGCGGAGGTGGAGAGTCTCCGTTGTCTGTGGACCTCGGTGTGGGGGCCAGAGGCCAAGGTAGAGGTGGAAGAATCATCTGTTTCTTTGTCCGTTGTCTGAGGGGGGAGAGTGCCTGTCGACATTTGTGTACTTTGCTCAGTGTAGTAGGGACATTTCTCAGGAGAATCAGATTTTTATGATATTTAAGATCTTATAACCCTTTCAGCTCAGACAATAGTTTTAACGAAATTGTTTATGTTGTATTGAATGAATGAATGGACGAACCTTTATTATCTCTAGACTTCCTCCTGTGTGCACTGCTCAGGGAGAGTCACATTAGAGAGTTCCAGGAGGTAGAACTAAATGTCTTTCAGGAATGTGGGACTGAATGTTGAAACAAATGCAGTATCAGGGTTTGTACAGGTCTTGGAAAACTCTTTGAACTTTGTTTTTACTTTCCAAGACATGGAAAACTCTTGGAATTTTGGGAAATTGGCAAAATTCTTGAAAAAGTCTTGTAAAAACAAATTTTTAACTAGATCTGTTGTAAAAATATTTCCTCAAAATTTAAAAGGCCTTGACTTTACACATTCTGAAGTGTACCATATGTATTTTTTAATGCTGAACGAAAAATTTTCTTAGGAAATGACACGTTCATTTGTCTTTGAAAAAAAGAAATCTGGTCTTGAAAACTTTTTGAAGAATCTTGGGGGAAAATCTGCTCAGTATGAACCCTGCAGTATGGTTTCCTCAAGTTGGCTCAATTTGTTGTACTGTGTTGTAGGGCGGTCTCTTAACTCTTTTCCTACCAGGCCAAAATCCACCACTGGCCCAGGACTTTCCCCAGACCTATTTTTATGCCCCTACCCCACCAAAGGAAAATGTCAATACGTCCAACTAAACACACACAAACCATATCATACGGCCCATCAACCTGAAGGTTTAAAAAATAATCTACCAGATGGTGATACGATATTGAAGATTTATTCCAATTATATTTCTTTGGGGTTTCTAAAAGTGATGATGCATTATCAAAGGTGTCATATGAATCAACAATTTTCCGGCTTTGAAAGGTCATATCTAAAAAAAAGTGCAACAACAGCATTATTCAAACTTCCCAGGTAGGTTGCCTCAAGTAATGCAAAGAACTGCTGAAAGTTACGTATGTGTACCTAATATAGAAGTGAGAATATAAGACATAATTATACTGAAGTCAGGGGAGCGCTTTTCTTCTCATTTTTACGTTTCCAAGGGGACAAAAAAAGGCGCTGAAATAACTAAAGATCGTCTCTTACTGCTATATTTTCTTTCGTACCTGCTGACAGGAAGTCTATTCTATTATTTTTAAATCATGGATCGGCTGAGAATTTCGTGTCTTTTCACTACTTGATTGGAATGATAGCGAGCCACTGAAGCAGTATTTTGCGGCTCTCGGTCCTGCCACGTCCGCGAGCTGCAAAATGCGGCCCTTGGTAGGAAAAGTGTTAAGTGGCTGATGGTTGCTGAGAACCAGATTTGTGACTGTTTTGATTACATTAATTGAGAGGGAATTTGCCTCACAACTCTTATATTTTATAAATCTCTCTATTTCACTGAAATATTGTTTTTTTGCTAGTATTATTTGACAATCCAAGTATTGAAATTGTCTTTAAATTTGATTAGGGTGATACTGTTTTTGATGACTCCAGTAATCATTGGTCTCTCTCCTTCCATCCCTCTCTCTCTCTCTCTTTTTCTCTCTGACCCCCGCCCCGGCAGTGCTACTGACTGAAGTGTCTTTTGGCCATTCCCAAAGGAGGGATATTACATGTTCTTATGCTCAGTAGAATTGTAAATGGGCTGATTTATCAATGTCATACTCATACTGTGCCGGAACAACATATGGGAACTGCTGCTTTTTCTTTCCTCATCCTTACTAGCGTCATTTGTCCTCTACTTCTTTCGTATGTTTGTCACTCTTGTGACCCGCTATTTCCGGGGTGCCTTGATAGTTGAAGCAGACTTTGTGCTGTTGAGGCTAATGACAATGACAATGACAATCTTTATTCATCTCGCAGGGAGAAATTTGTCTTGGTCGTTAACAATGGCAGTAGACGGTACAAAAGTTAGACTTAAAGGTGCACTCACACAAATGCACAACAAGACAGGACATTATGCCAAGTAAATACATGTCTCACGGGCTGGGACAACCCGCTCCGTAACACATTCATTCTCTCTCTCTATCTCTCTCTCTCTCTCTCTCTCTCTCTCTCTCTAGAGAGGTGATCAGAGTAAGCCTGATTCCCCGTTTGGACTTCTCTGTTGACATCCACCCCTTGGCGCTCATATGACCTAATGCAGTTGCAAGCGCCGTAAAACCTTATTAAGGGGGGCTCTCGTGGCCTAGAGGTTAAGGTGTTGGCCTCTCATTCAAAGGTCCCTGGTTCGATTCCGGGTAGCGACCAAAAAATTTTCTTCTCTAAAATTGTCTCCTTTCACATCCTTTCCTGCTCTCTGACAATGTTCTGTTGTCTGCTTTCATTTCCACTTTCTCCTCCCCCCCCCCCCCCCCCCCTCACCTCCTTTGCCCCCTCCTCTGGGCTCCTGACCCTTTCTGCAGCCTTTCTACTGCTACTCCTTGGCTCCTCCTTACTGCTGTCTTTCTGCCACACCCCTGATCTTCTGGTAGGAAAGATCTAATCGTAGCCTTCTTGGACAAGGGCGAAAAATCTAGGAGGGCCCGTGTGCAAGTTGCACACGTTAAAGATCCCTTGGTGGTCTAAAAGCGATAAGAATAGGCTTCGGCCGCCACCTGGGCAAAATTCAAAATTTCCTTCCAACTGAAAATATTAGGTGTGTCCCGCGCGCTCATATGACCGTATGCAGTTGCGAGCGCCGTAAAACACTTTCCAAAAACATTACAAACCTTATTAAAACAATCTCTCTCTCTCTCTCTCTCTCTCTCTCTCTCTCTCTCTCTCTCTCTCTCTCTCTCTCTCTCTCTCTCTCTCTCTCTCACCCCCCACCCACCCACTCACCCACTCACTCACTTTCACACACTCACACAATCCATCAATAACAACCAAACGGTACATATACAAGAAACTATAATCACAATATTTGTAACTGCAGCTGACCTCTACTCTCTGTGCTGCTTTGAGGAAAGACTAGCCTTGTTGACACTGCTACAAAAGAATTTTTGTACGGGTTTGTTCTGGATCGTTGTCTTATTGATATGCCATGTCATTGAGATTTTTTATATTGAGCTGCCATTTTGCTGAGATTTTTTTATACAGTCGAACCTGTGTAAGATGGCCACCCATTGTCAAGGAGAAAAGTGGCCTTGTAAGACAGGTGGCCATCTTAGGCAGGACTGATCAAGATGAAGAAAACGAATCATTCCTTTCTGAGGTCCCAACCGAAAGTAGCCTCATTGTTGTTGATATTGTTGTTGTTGTTGTTGTTTTCGCGGGGGGGGGGGGGGGTTCTTTTGTTGTTGCTTTTGTGCAAGGGTGACAATAAAACGAAATGGACCGTATGCTATGGTAAAACAAACACATGGGTCGCCACCACTCGGAGAACGAGCGACGCTTCTGTCACAAGTTAATGTTGATGTCCATTGTTACTTTGTTATAGACTGGGTAAACAGTGACCACTCATCTCACTTACGATTTGTGTATGAGTTCTGAGCAGGGCTTTATGGGTTATGAGGGATCACACGCTTACCTCACCAGCAGCTGAAAATTTGTTACCCATTGGTCAAATGTGGGAGGGGCCTACGCAACATGATCTGTTGGAGGGACTATCTAACAACGACAGGTGATTGAATTATCACGGCTCGCCCACAACGCCAGGGGCCAATGCACAATTTATGACAAAACATAGTGGAGCCACTAAGGTGGCCGTCTAAGACAGGTGTTATTGCTTAGTGTGATAGGGGTTGTGTGTTAAAATATTGTGGCCGCGGCCGCGTTGGACAGGTGCCCGTTTTACACAGTTAAGTTATATAGAAAAAATGCAAGTGGGTAAATGAAAAGTGGCCGTTTGTACAAGTGACCGTCTTATAGAGGTGGTCGTCAGGGCAGGTTCGACTGTACATTGATCTGCCATTTTGCTGCCGAGATATTTGATATTGATCTGCCTTTTTCTTGAGATTTTTATATATTGATGTGCCATTTTCTTGTGATTTTTTATACATTGATCTGCCATTTTGCTGCTGAGATATTTGATATTGATCTGTTATTTTCTTGAGATTTGTTATATTGATCTGCCCTTTTCTTGAGATTTTATATTGATCTGCCATTTTGCGGAGACTTTATATTGATCTGCCATTTTCTTGAGATTTGTTATATTGATTTGCCACTTTGCTCAGTTGTTTGATATTTATCTGCCATCTTTTATATTGATCTGCCACTTTGCTGAGGTGTTTGATATTCCCCATGCAGAACTTGAGTTTATTATCGATCATTAGTCTTAAGTGTTGGAATAATTGTCCAATATATTTTTTCTCAAATTGTTTTGGTTACATTAATTGAGCGGAAACTTTCCTCACAACACTTATAAATACCAAGTTTTTTGTTTGTATTTGACCACCCAAGTATTGGTGAATTGTCTGCAAATTTGATGAGGATGGTTTTGTTGTGATGACTGGTGTAATCCTTGGTGCAGGAAGTGGGGAGGGCAGGTGAAACAACACATCCCGCTGCTGCACCACTGCTGCTTTGCCTCTTACTCCTATTGGAAGTGAGGGTATTTGCTTGAACATATTTTGTTCTTCCTACCAAACAGTTTCAAGTCAAAGCAATAGCATTCAAATTTACTTTCAGTTTAAGCTTCAAAGGTTTCTCAGTCATCAAGTGAAGTTGGATGGTACTGAAAGCTGAGGAAAAGAAAATAAATCAATGGGCTCTTGCGTACTTTCTGGGCAGCTCTATACGTTTTTGAACATTATTCACCAATGACCAAAGCATCTTCAACACCTCTCCCTTTTATTTATGCAAGTAAAAAGGGGTCTTTGGCTCCTGTAAGAAATGTGTAATAAACGGGGGGGGGGGGGGGGGGGGGTTGTGGTCGGGATGGTCTTGAACCAATGTGATATTACACTTTTGTGAGGTGAAAAAAAATAAGGGAAAAAGGTGGCCTTGGTCAAGAAAGGCTGCATGGTGTGCAGAGGCCACAAGGAATGTGGAAAATATTTTCTAAGTATTGCAGCATTGAAGAGGCACAGGGGTTTACACAGGAAGAAATGGAGGTGGAGGAGGAAGAAGAGACAGAGCAGGAAGTTGGAACAGGACCCATTAGAAGACAGCTCAGCAGATGCCCCTGTTTTAAAAAAAACTTTTTACATAATGATGAACACTGCCTTTGTTGATGATAACTAATTTCTTTTTTTGTTTTCAGCATAATGATCAGTAATAACAGATACAGTGGAATCCCGATAAAGTCAACTCTTGCTTACTGTCAACACCTCACTGTGGTCCCATTTCTTGCCTTGTTTGTTTTACGTAATTCTGTTTCTGATCCTGTCAACGCTTGAGTGTTTACCTTGCTTAAAGTCAACAATTTGGGGCTAAATCCCAAGATGATTTCATTTTTAAGAAGGGATATTTAAGGCCTGAGCTTATGGTATACACACACCCAGTTACTTTGTTCACTCATCATCTCTTGTTTTGGGGACAAGTTCAGAATTTTATGTTCAATGAAATTGAGCTAACATCTTGTTACCAGGAACTTTGTAATTTTGTAGCTGTCATCTTTCTTAACTTCAATTTTCAATTTCAATGCGCAGAGTACATATGTAGTCTACTATGGATAAAGTCAACCTTGCTCAAAGTCAACACTTTTTTTCGGTCATGAGGTGTTGACTTTATCAGAATTCCACTGTAATTTGTTTTATTTGTAATTAAGGCGCTTTTGACATTGACATGAGCCTCAATTTTTA